TCCGTTCGGGTGATTTCGATGTCAAAGATGCACCACACACTGGAAGGCCAATTGTCGAAAATATCGATAAAATCATGGACATTGTCGAGTCCGACCGTCATGTAAGCACTGTTTCGATTGTCCAAGAGCTAAAGATTGCACAAAAAACCGTTTGGAACCATTTGAATAAGGCTGGATACAAAAAGAAGCTCGATGTATGGGTGCCATACGAGTTAACGAAAAAAAACCTCATGGACCGAATTTCCATCTGCGAACCGCTGCTGAATCGCAACAAAATCGACCCATTTCTGAAGCGGTTGGTCACTGGTGATGAAGTGTGGATCATTTACGACAACGTCAAGCGAAAACGGTCGTGGTCGAATCGCGGTGAGCCGGCGGAAACGGTGGCCAAGCCAGGATTGACGGCCAGGAAGGTTTTGCTGTGTGTTTGGTGGGATTGGCAGGGAATTATCTACTATGAGCTGCTCCCCTACGGCAAAACTCTTAACTCGGAACTGTACTGTCAACAATTGGATCGTCTGAAGGAAGCAATCGCCCAGAAGCGGCCAGCTTTGGCCAATAGGAGAGGAATTGTGTTCCATCAGGACAACGCCAGGCCATATACATCGATAGTGACTCGCCAGAAGCTCCGGGAGCTTGGTTGGGAGGTTCTTATGCATCCACCTTATAGTCCGGACCTGGCACCAAGTGATTACCATCTGTTCCTGTCCATGGCGAACAATTTTGCTGGTGAAAAATTCGCTTCGAGAGAGGCTTGTGAAAATCGACTTTCTCAATTTTTTGCCAATAGGGACGAGGGCTTCTATGAGAGAGGCATAATGAAATTACCTTCAAAATGGCAACAAGTTATCGAACAAAACGGCGCATATTTGACCTAAATCGGATTATTCTAACTATGGTAATTAAAGCCTTCAATTTCATGCAAAAATAATAGATTTCTTTTTACTACACCTGATATATACAGGATCATCGAAAAGTATTGGATCCCCCCTAATATCTTCAGTTAAAATGCATTTTGGAGAAAATGTCCAATAGCAAAGTTGTATGGTTTCAAGCGGGGAGTAAGATGATGACATTGACTTTGACCTTGACCATGTACTTCAAGGTCATTTCAAGGTCAATCTTATTTTTTTAAATAGAACCCCCAACATTTTATTGCATATTCTTATAGCTTATCTCGAGAGCTTTCCAAACACTATAACAGAACATTCTTTCATTAAGAACTTTTTGAGTTATAAAGGTTTGAAGTTAACAATTTTTTGAAACAAAATGTAAAATATCTTGTAAAATATTATTTAGTTTTCAGTAATCATAACCTTAATACTTTTATACGCGAAATAATGAGACCAATTAATTGGTTTAAAGAAAATACATTAATCGAAAAGTATCGGCTCCCTCTAATATTTTCAGTAAGAATGCATTTTGGAAAAATGTCTAATAGCAAAGTTGTACGGCTTCAAGCGGATATGCTAGTAGTCTATGGCGGAAAAGTGCCCGAAAGTGATCGCGAGAAGCTGCTCGATGTCCGAAGGTGTTAACGGGAATCTGCCCGAAAGCGTTGGCGGGGCCGATCTTTATTGTCTCACTATCGCAGGCACCAATAGTAATACAAGCTCTTGAGCAAACAATGCGGATCACTGATTTGAATCTTTGATGCAGTGCTGTCTTCTTCTTAGCGAGTAGCAGTCACCACATAGACGAAAACGAACAGCCCCAAAAATTGTTTCTGTAGCAAAAGAAGCCATTACGTTTCAATTGATTGTCCCAAACACCTTCATTTTGTTTCCAATAGTCCAGAATTTTTTCGTAAATATTATTAATTGATCTATATCTCTGATATAGATTTTCAGTTGCTCAACGAGCTTTTTGCTAATGCTGGTTGAAATAAACAAATCGATAGTTGGACCAACACTTAATAATTAGTATTTTTCTCTACTTAATTATTTAGATCAATTTCCTATCACTTACCTGATTAATTCTTCTTTGCTCTAATTAAGAATGGCGGAGCTTTCTAAAAGAGATCGAATAACACTGTTAATGATGCGAGGATGGTGAGATCAAGAGGGAGATAAAGCGGGTATAAAACAGTAACGCGATTATTTAATGAAAATTTTCGGAATGAAAATAATAGGATCTCGAAAAGTACTGTAATCCGTACTATTCAATGTTTCGAGGACAATGGTAGCGTTAAAAGCCGCCCAAGATCTGGTAGACGTAAAACAGCAACAAATAATGATAAGGCATTAGATGTTTCACAGTCTTTCGTTGAAAGTTCCCACATTTCCATCAATTGCGTTGCACAAGAACACGAAATCGGTCATGCATCTGTCAGTAAAATTCTGAAATTGAATAAATGGCATCCATACAAACTCCATTTGGTCCAAGAGTTGTCCGAAGACGATTTTGATAGACGCATCGAATTTTGTGATCTTATGATGGAGATGATTGTCGACGATCCTCTATTACTTAATAATATTGTTCTCTCTGATGAGGCAACATTTGAACTGACTGGAAATGTAAATAGACACGATTGTAAATATTGGAGTGACGTTAATCTTCACTGGAAAAGAGACAATCATACCCAATATCCACAAAAAGTTAACATATGGGCTGGTATTCTTAATGGTAGACCAGTTGGCTCTTTCTTCATTCAAGGGAATTTGACAGCACAAGTATACACAGTCATGCTTCGCGAACAAATTGTTCCAGATATTCGAGACATAGCTGGTGGAAATATGGATGAAATTTATTTCCAACAAGATGGAGCTCCACCTCATTATGGTGTCATTGTCCGTCAATATTTGAATGAGGTCTTTCAGAACAGGTGGTTAGGGCGAAGGGGTCATATTGAGTGTCCACCTCGGTCTTCGGACTTAACCCCACTTGACTTTTTTTTGTGGGGTTACTTGAAAAGTAAAGTTTATGCCACCAAGCCTCAAGATTTAGATGATTTAAGAGGGAGAATAACTCGAGAGATAGAATTAATACCGCCGGAAACGTTCCGAAATGCGGTTTCAGCTGTTTATAACAGATTGGCACATTGCCAGGCTGTTGAAGGGCAACAATTTGAACATTTGTTGTGAATTGTTTGGTACAATTGAATATTTTGCTCAAGCTGACCAATTGGAATGAAATTCGCCTTAACTGGTCGGAATCACACACCACTCTTGCCTTAACTGGCCGGAATCACACACCATTCTTTCCTTAACTGGTCGGAATCACACATCACTCTTGCCTTAACTGGTCGAGATCACACATCACTCTTGTCTTAACTGGTCGGAATCACACACCACTCTTGTCTTAACTGGCCGGAATCACATACCATTCTTGCCTTAACTGGTCGGAATCACACACCACTCTTGCCTTAACTGATCGAAATGACACACCACTCTTGCCTTTACTGGTCGGAATCACACATCACGCTTGCCTTAACTGGTCTGAATCACACACCACTCTTGCCTTAACTGGTCGGAATCACACACCACTTAACAAATTGTTAACTTCTATAAAAAATTTCTAACTTTTATAACTCAAAAAGTACTTAAAGAAAAAATGTTTCATTATAGTGTTTTGGAAAGCTCTCGAGATAAGCTATAATAATATGTAATAAACTGTTGGGGGTTCTATTTAAAAAAATAAGGTTGACCTTGAAATGACCTTGAAGAACATGGTCAAGGTCAAAGTAAAGGTCATCGTCTTATTTCCCGCTTAAAACCATACAACTTTGCTATTAGGCATTTTCTCCAAAATGCATTCTAACTGAAGATATTAGGGGGGTCCAATACTTTTCGATGACCCTGTATATATATATATATATATAATTACAACATAATGAAAAGAATGACATAAAAAAGTATAATTAGAGGATTATTGCAATAGATTTCCACATCATCTGTGAGGTACTATTGCTGATGCGTTTTTTTTTAAGTGGTTTCCCCAGTAGGCCTATTCCACTAAAAAATGAAGAATTACGATAGAAAGTATGGCTCAGCAGGAAAACTAGATGAAAAGAAGTAAATGATCATTTGGGAACAAGTAAACTAGGATTTCCTGGGTTGTTTAGACTGTACTATGGATGATATATCCAAAGACATTTTAGAAGAACTAGCTCGCATCAAGGAAGAAAGGAAAGTATGATTTAAAGAAGAACGTTTATTAGAAAATGCGTTATTGCAGCGGTCGAATCATTTGGAGATTCGATGACTTTCGAAAAAGCTGCAAGCATTCCATTAAATCTGTAAAATCACGGATAGATGGTACAGCTTCATCTTTAGAAGAGAAATTAAAATGTTCATTTGCGTCTTATTTGTATTATTCATTATGTATTTATGAGAGTACCGATAATCGGCATATGGATCAACTGTGTATTTTTGCTCGAATCGTACGTAAAACGATTTTTCACATGTCAAAGATCTTTCAGACTTTGTATCGTTGCAAGGGAGAACAACAGGTGTTGAAATCTTTAAGGCTGTTAGCCAAACTCTGCAAAAATTTGACATTGATTTCTACAAATGTTCGGCTGTAATCACAGATAGCATAAACGCAATGATAGGTTTGAAAAAACGGTTTCTTTGAACAAATAAGACAGCAAGGTTTTAAAATTTCTGTTACTTATTGCATCATTCATCAAGAAGCGTTGTCTTATAAGCTTAACCCCTTGACTGTGAATGACGTAAATATGCGCATGAAAATTTTGCCTCTCCGGCGTATTCTCTGCTCTAAAATTTTGTTTCCCTACCGAGCCATACATTTTATCGTATTTGTTCTTTATTATTTAGTGGAGTAGGCCTACTGGGGAAAGCACTTTAAGGGGCTTACCTAGTGTGACCACATGAAAATGAGGGCGATTTTCGAGGATTAAAAAAAAACTATTCTGCCATATATTTTAAAAGTTTGAGGCTATATTAAGTAACATTTGGAGAAGTTATAAAAATTATATTATGAAAAAATATTGACATATATTGGAAATATTAGTAATTTCCCGAAGGTAAAAAAAGAAAAGTAGCCCAACTGCTGCAGCGATAAGTGACGTCAGAGTGCCTGAAATAAAAAAAGACAAAAAAGGCGTTAAAGTAGATAAGTTTTCCTATACAGTGAACCAGGATTATGAAAAAATATTGAAAATTAAAAAAATTACGGTGTTGTAAAATAAAAGTTCGAATTTAGCAAAAAAAGTGCCCGTTTTTTGCGTGGCAAATTGACATTTGTTGACGGATTAAAAAAATCCTAGTTTACTGTATGACGAAACATGTACTGAGTATGCCTATCAAATTTGAAGTTGATTCATTAATTTATTCGCGAGTTATGACTGCAGCAAATTTCGAAAACATTGTTTCGAGAAAAACGCGTTTAAAGTTTTAACTATTGATTTTTTGTTATAAAAGAAAATTTATCATACTTACAGCTATTCAGCTATTCCAGGCCCATATAATTCGCCTTCCTCTTGTTCGAAAAATTGTTGCTGGGCCGCTGCAGCAGTCCTGCGAGCTGACCGATCCTCCTTTGAAGCCTCGCGGTGCCGTTTTTCTGCTACCATCATTCGTCTCATGTCTCGTTTTTCTGCATAATCTTTGGCAGAGGGCCCAATAATCACTTCCATTGTTTCAAATGCTTTCAAAATAGCTTGGAAACCTTCATTAAAAATTGCAACAGCAAAGAAATTGGCCAGTTCTATTGTTTTTAAACCACTGTGAAGGTGTTTAGGAGCAAAGTGCCACAACAAACCATTATAACTTTCGTTATTATTTTGTGTATTACTACCCTTACACCTGTTTAATAATTCAGGCCTACTTAAATCACTATAAATTGGCTCTAGAACTTCTTGAATCTGTAGGTCCAGAGGGAGATAGTCATGTTTAAATTTCGTCATGTCGTACTGGTTTACTCGGTCGACTGCTCCAGCGTGTGTCGATTTCCCTGGAACTTTCTTTTCTTATTGGTACTTCTACGCGCTAGAGTATCGTGTGTGCCTTTTCGAATATTAGATTGACTTTTCCCACTCATTTTGAATGAAATTCGCGCTGCGATGTGCTCTGCACAGTGGCTAAAAACTAAATGGGCCGCTTACGTATACCTGCGTCGAGCGGCTTCGAAACCTTTTGAGCTGCCAACAACGCTTTCGTACAAACATAAAGGGATTATTGTGAGTTCTTGGAACTACCAGGCTCTCTTTTCTATCTTTGAAGTATAAACGATTACGTCAAAGCCTAAGAACTACCGCAACTGCCTGGCGTCCTTCTTCGTCGGCGAGAATCGAGTTTATGGCCCCCGACCAGCTGCGCTGTCGTTTCATACCTGCCGTTTCTAAAACATTTCAGATACGACCATAACACTTCAGGATAATATTCTACAGATGTTAAACTGTCAAAAATTGCAAAAAAAACTTCGATTTTTTCAAACTGTCACACTAGGTAAACCCCTTAAAAAACGCATCAGCAATAGTACCTCACAGGTGATGTGGAAATCTATTGCAATAATCCTTTAATTATACTTTTTTTATGTCATTTTTTTCATTATGTTGTAATTATATATATATATAAATATATATATATATATGTATGTATGTATGTGTGTATAAAACACATAAACATATATATTTTAAAGCGATTATTAAGGGAGGAAAAAATTATAATTATAATAAAACACGAGAGTATGCTTCAGCTGACATCTTACGTAGCGACGGGCTTGAGCGATCCGCGATCGTCGCCTCGGCCGCTGAGCGCGGAGCGGTGGAAGGGGAACGGTGGGTGTCACCGCTTGAAATTCGGCCGAAAAGGGCACTTAGTCTCCAGTTCTGATCTAGTGATTTACGCTTACATTGACAAAAGATTTTCTTATATATTCGTACAATTAACTGATTTTTTCGTTCACAATCATTGGTAAACAAATTGTTAAACTGCTCGAGGTTATAACCCTGATACATAAAGTAAAGAAAAACACAGCAATAATGACCACAAGTCGCCGATAAGAGTCCCTGAAGAAAGGTATTCCATTGATAAGCGACGTAATTTCTTCTAAAACGCAGGAGAAATCATGAGTCCCGGGACGGCATCCCGTAGCTGTCGAAGTGGCCGTAGATATAGCAGTTCCATTCCGATCGACGTAGAATGCGACCCAGTGCTGTCCCGACGTCATGATCGTCCATATTAGCGACTACTGCCGTCGACCTCATTCATACCCTCGGTAGTCTGTCGGCTGGATAGACGCCGGTGTATCTAGCATTGAGATGTTGCAATGCGTGTTGAATTTCGAGCGAATTCATTTTATATAACTACGTTTACCCCTGATAACGTGATTGTTATCGTCCTCGACGGTTTGACGGAATATTTCAATTCAGTATTTGTCTCGTTTTCCTCTTCTTCAACTTGTTGCTGATACTGGCTTACCTGGTATTGTACGATTTTTCACACTTCCAATTTCCTGAAAACGCCTTATCGTTCTTTCAACGGTAGATTTTGAAATGGCATTATCCTGATTACGAAAAGTTTCATTAAAAAGCCGCCTCACATCATTGTACTACCTTAGTCGATCATCCCATCCTCTCATCACCAAAAGAGATATGCGTCCTCGTTCTGAAAGACTTGCCATATTGACAAGCAGAAGTGGTAAGATTTAGTCTAATCGACTAAATTAATATTTGGATCAATTCAAAGTTATTCTAAAGATAGTGCTGAAGAATAATAATGAGCACGGAATGAAGTGCAATTAAGTCAGCTTACAACTAGCTTCAAACTGTTTCTTAATAATTTTCAAAAAAATAGAGGAATTTCAGTCGAGTTTGCGATTCACTAAACTGTAATGAGTATTAAATGAGTAAATGGAAGAAGTAAACATCGAACAGCAGAATAGTTCAAATAAATAAATAACTGAAATAAATCAATCAACGAAATTAAGACAAGCCAATAGGAGCCAACGCCTGTAAGTTAGCCGCGCAATTATTTTTACGAGTTGTCTGGATCATCCTCCGATCTTGTCTTAGTTGGCTCGATCACTCCGACCTTGCCTTAGTTGGCCGGATCATCCTCCGATCTTGCCTTAGTTGGCTAGATATCTTACTTTGAAAAACTCGATAACTTCGGAACAACCTATTCAAATTGGATAAATTCATAGTGCTTTGAAAAGTTCTAAAGAAGGGCTATAAGAATATGCAATAAAAAATTGGGAGTTCCATTTAAAATATCCGAGGTGACCTTGTCCTGACCTTGATGACGTCACTCAAGGTCAAATTGTTAAGATCGGTAAATAGATCTCTTTCAACGTTACAACTTTTGTCTGAAGAATTTTTTTATAAAGTGTATATTTTTCAAAATTTTCAGAGGTCCCGGGGTTTTTTCTTCACCCTGTATAAAATATATATTAGGTTGCTTGAAAAGTTCTTTTCAAATTTTCTATATAAATGCATAGCACAATATTTGTACAGACAGATAGAAAAGAAGTTTATCGAAGTGAATATATACCGTTTTGTTCAACAACCTTGATCCATATTTCAGAAAACTACATGATGCCTTTGCTCCAAGATGATTTTTTACTGGCGAGGTGACTTTTGAGAACTTCCAAAGAATTCTTCGAATTCTTGTCCCTAAGAAAATTTTTCAAAAAGAAAAATAAATAATAGTCAGCAGTATGGAGCAAGATCGGGAGGAAGAACCCATTCGAAGTCTAACAACTTCCTATGGATAGACATTACGATGTACGAGGGTGGTCCGATAAGTACTTAGCCTACAAAAGAAAAACGAAAGTTTTGGAAAAGTGGCGATTTATTTCTCAACATAGTCTCCTTTTAGCTCGATACACTTGACCCAGCGATGCTCCAACTTCTTTAACCCGTCTGGAAAATACGTTTTCTCGAGGTCTGCAAAGTAGGCCTCCGTGGCGGCGATGACCTCCTCATTCTACTCAAATTTCTGCCCGGCGAGTGACTTTTTCAAGTTTGGAAACAAAAAGAAGTCGCATGGGGCCATATCTGGAGAATACGGTGGATGGGGCAGCAGTTCGTAGCCCAATTCGACCAATTTGACCGTAGCGAGGGCGGAGGTGTGAGCCGGTGCGTTGTCATGGTGGAAGAGCACTTTTTTCTTCGCCAAATGGGGCCGTTTTTTCTGCAATTCGGCGTCGAATCGGCCCAATAATTCGGCATAGTACAGCCCTGTGACCGTTTTGCCCTTCTCCAGGTAGTCGATGTAGATCACACCTTGTGAATCCCAGAAAACGGTGGCCATCACCTTTCCGGCCGATAGGACAGTCTTCGCCTTCTTCGGAGCACGTTCGCTGGGTGAAGTCCACTGTTTCGACTGTTCCTTGGTCTCTGGTGTGTACCAGTGGATCCATGTTTCGTCGACGGTCACGAAACGACGCAGAAACTCCTTCGGATTGCGCTTAAACAGCGTCAAACACTGCTCTGAAGTGGTCTCACAGTTGCGCTTGTTGTCCGGAGTGAGCAAACGCGGCACCCATCGCGCCGACAGCTTTCTCATGCCCAAAATTTCATGCAGGATATGACCCACGCGGTCTTTTGAGATGCCTACTGTCTCAGCTATCTCGCGCACCTTCAATCGGCGGTCTGCCAATACGAGATCGTGGATTTTTGTCATGTTATCCTCCGTGGTAGCCGTTTTCGGGGCACCTGGGCGTGGCTCATCAAAAACCGACATGCGACCACGTTGAAACTCATTAAACCAATTTTTGACGGTCGCCATCGAAGGAGAAGAGTCACCGTACACAGCATCCAAGCGCTCTTTGATTTCGCTGCACGATTTCCCTTCCAAAAACAAGAATCGAATCACCGACCGATATTGCTCTTTTTCCATTTTTCTAAAATCCGCGGACACGCCCGCTTCCACACGCGGTCAAAACAAAACTACGAGTCCGATTCAGCTGAAATTTCGACAGTAGCCGTCTACGAGAATGTACTACACGATAGTAAATTTCTCTTGCGATAGTGGCGCCATCGGGCGGTGAGGCTAAGTACTTATCGGACCGCCCTCGTAAGCTCTGTCGTTATTATAGTGGGAGACAACTTCGGCTATTGAACAGTTCAAGACGCTTCCGTGCGATGGCAACCTTCAGTCCGTCTAATTGAAGGCTATATTTCGGGGCGTTGATGATTTCGTTTAACTGAAGAAGCTCATAATACTTAAAATCCCACTAAATGCTTAGAAGAACCTTTTTCGGGTAAAGCCCCAGTTTGGCCACTATTTGCGTAGACGCGCCATTGGTTCCTCACGATCTTTTGCGGCTAACATTAATATATAGAATCCAACTTTCATCGCTTGTTATGATCCTCTTTAAAAACGGTTGCTTTTAATGTCATTAAAGCAGCATATCGCAGATATTCACATGTTCCACCAGCTACCACCCATTTCGTATAGCACCCAGATATCCAGTCGAATTGAAAACTCAGCTTCCTCGGATAATCACACATAGTAAAGATGGACTTATTCAGAGTGTCGGTGAGTTTTCTAACGATTACTTGCGAATTTTCGCGCATCAAGTCCTCAAGAAGCGTTTCATCAATCTTCTGAAGTCTGCCGGAATTAACTAGATCTTTCAGACTGAAATTGCCAGCTACGAATCCTCGATATTACTTCTGAACTTTCTAGTGCGTGATGCAGGTGTCTCCATATACAAAGAACATCTCATTCAAGATCTGCGAAGCCATGAAGCTACGCTTGAAGTAATATAGCATCATATGGCGAAAATGGATTTTCCGGCTTTCCATTTTCAAATTAATTTTTGACAAAATAGTTATACTTAGGAAGATCTGCGAAGTTTCTTTGGCGAGCTCATAGATCCAGGAAAGTTTGTTGACAAGTACAAAATCGTCTAGAGTGCTCTCGCTCTTGTTAATTATACCGAAATGCGAAGCATGTAAAATTTAAACGATTTTCCAAGCAACCTAATAACATATATATAATTATGGTAGTATATAATGTTTTATATTCACGTACAGAAGATAGGAGGAGGAATTTAATTTTCAGGTATAAATTAGAACATGTAACTGATTTGAGTGCAGAACGAACCGTGCCAACTTCTGAGAATTGTGGTCATAATGCTGTATGTAATGTCTATGAATATAAAGAACTACGATTAACAGCAGGCGCACAAGCTGCTGACATAAAAGAATGCATCGCTAGCCACGAAAAAGCAATTGAGTACATATTTATTCTTACATACAATACTTAATATTATATTCAATATATTTTTTGATAATTATAAAGTATAAACAAATATACATATATATCCAGTGCTAGACAAAATAAATTATATACCTTTCAATAAATTGAATTTGTTCGTGTAACTATCTTTTTAACAAACAAATAAGTTATTAGATACAGGAAATTGAAAGCATTTCAAGGTATTTAAATATAGAAAATATGAAATAGTAAAAATTGTGCTCAATCTTTTTGTAAAACGTTTATTATTTAATATTGTTACATTTTGTCCAAAGTAAATCATACACTTATATAATATAACGTAGGTAACTGTCAATTTCGTCGTTTTGCTATTGTTCGTCATTCTACTGTTTGTTTATATTAGTACTACTAGAATTTATGTGTTCGGTGAGTGAGTAGTAACTATAACGAACAACTAACAAACTATAAGAACAATCACGGAAGCAAGTTTCTCTTGATATCCGAAATTTGGTCATTCGCGATCAACAGAATAATGAATCTTTTAAGATAATTGCTAATAAATACTCGATCTCTGTTGAAGCAGTTCAACACATTTGGAAAAAATATGAAACACATGGGATAGTGGCAAACTATTCCGGAAAAGGTCGAAAATGGGCTGCAACTTTTCGTGATGATATCAGAATCGTTCAAATGGTAAAACAAAATCTGAAGCTGGCATCACGAAACATTGCGGAATCGATGAACATGACTGTCAGCGGCCGCACTGTGCGTCGCAGGCTTAGTAATTTGGACTAAAAAACATGTTTGCGTCAAAGCGTCCCTTTATCAATAAAATAAATAAGAAGAAACGATTCAAGTTTGCCAAAAAGTATGCGAAAATGCCTCTAGATTTTTGCAAAGAAGTATTATGGTCTGATGAGAGCAAGTTTGAGTTATTCTCACAAAATTGGCAGTCTAGAATGTGGCGAAAACCTGGTGAGGCTCTCAAAGAAGTTAATATTCAGAAGACTGTAAAACATGGAGGCGGTAATATCATGGTATGGGGGTATTTTGCATAATGTAGTGTCGGTAATTTGGTTCGAATTGAACGTGTTATGACAACAGAAGGATATATTGATATATTATGCGAGTATTTGGAAGATTTCTTTTGAAATTGGGTTTAGAAAATAACTTTATCTTTCAACAAGATAATGACCCAAAGCATAAGGCGAAGAAAGCCACTGCCATACTTTTTCAAATCTAATAAAATAAAATTGCTCGAATGGCCACTGCAATCACCAGATTTAAACCCCATTGAAAATCTGTGGGCTTATTTAGACGAGAATGTGAATAAAATGAATGTGACTGACAATCATCCTACGAGTATGCAGCACTCCAGAAAGCCTGGGAGGAAATTGATCCTGAATACATGAAGAAATTAGTCGAGAATATGCCCCGCCGATTGGAAGCAGTACTAAAAGCTAAAGGAGGCCATACAAAGTATTAAGCATCATTAGAATTAACTTTATTTGTTTGTTAACTATTACTTTTAAAAGTGTATGAGTTATTTTGTCCAGGGCAAAATACAACAATATTGAATAATAAACATTTTACAAAATAATTGAGCACAATTTTTACTATTAGGGACTTGAATAAGTTCTCGCTGTTTTTTCGTGAAAATGAATGTTTTATTTAAAAAAATTAGTAAAGAACATGTCATTGAAAGTATTGTCCATCGCTAGCCACTACCTTCTCCCATCTTTCTGGTAGCATACGAATACCATGTCGAAAGAACGACTCATCTTTTGAGGTTATCCACGAATCAACTTATTTTTTAACATCTTCATAAGAATGGAAGTGCTGCTCAGCCAGGCCATGAGTCATCGATCGGGACAAGTGGTAATCGGAAGGAGCAATGTCCGGTGAATACGGCGGGTGGGGTAGGACTTCCCATTTGAGCGTTTCCAAATAGGTTTTGACCGGTTTTGCAACATGTAGCCGAGCGTTGTCATGCTGCAAAATTACTTTGTCGTGTCTTTCCGCGGCCATTTTTCCTTCAATGTTCGGTTCAAACACACCAATTGTAGTTGATAGCGATCTCCCGTGATGGTTTCATTGGATTTGAGGAACTCATAATATACTACACCCAGCTGATCTCACCAAGTACAGAACAAGTGTGGAACCATGGATATTCGGTTTTGCCGTCGATGTTGATGCATGGCCGAGCTTACCCCATGATTTTCTACGCTTCAGGTTATCGTAGTGTATCCACTTTTCATCGCCAGACAATAAGATGCAAAACACCTTTCCTTTTCTGCCGTTGGAGCAGCTGTTCACACGTGAGAAAACGCCGTTCAACGTCTCTCGACTTCAATTCGTACGGTACCCAATTTCCTAGCTTTTGAATCATTCCTAATGCTTTTAAACGTTTGGCAACTGTTGTGTGATCAACTCTTAATGATTCTGCAAGTTCATTTTGCGTCTGACATGGGTCTTCATCGAGTAATGCTTTCAATTCTTCGTCTTCAAACTTTTTCGGTGCGCCAGAGCGCTCTTTACCTTCAACATCAAAATCATTATTTTTAAAGCGTCTAAACCAATATCTGCATGATGTTTCCGACAGAGCATGGTCACCGTAAGTCTCCACAAGAATTCTATGTGCTTCAGCAGATCTTTTTGAAAAAAGTAATGCAGTAAAATTTCCCGCAAATACTCTTTTTTGGCACGAAATTCGACATGTTTAACGCTATGAAAAAATATGTTGTTTACGCTTCGGCGGAATAACATGTACTGCCACTTCGAGTCTTATGGTGGAGTTTCATAATGAAGTTGGCTATAGTATTGCCCGATGCAAAAAGGCTAAGATAACATCATTTATCAGGAAACAGTGAGAACTTATTCAAGTCTCCAATATGATTATTATGCGAAAAATATTCTACTAAAAATATAATAGAATAAAAATTATATGTGTGCGTATGCGCGAGTAAGAGGGCTGTTTGATAAATTAGTGACTTGGACAAGAGATGGCATACAAATCGCAAGTCTAATTTTATTTTTGACATTTGTCATCTTATTTAAGTATACACACAAAATTTCAAGTAGATCTATCAAATAGAAATTTTTTGATAGCGTTTGAAAGCAGATAAATTTATGTTACTTTGATACAATGAGAAAAAATGAATTCTGAGTTCCGTTTATAAAGCATTATTTTTTGTATGGAAAAACCATTGAGGAAACTGAAGAAAAGCTAAAAATTTATCATGAGGACTTTACTCCATCGTATGGAACAGTTCACAAGTGGTTCATTGAATTTCGTTATGACCGTACAAGCACGAATAATACTGAGCGTCCGAGATGTCCGAATAAAGTTACAATTGAAGAAATGGTCAACAAAATCCGTAATATTGTGTTGGACGACTGTTGAATAAGGATACGTGAGATAGCTAAGATAATAAATATCTCAGACGAATGTATTTTTCATATTCTGCATGAACATTTGAACATGAGAAAGCTATCGGCAAGATGGATGTTGTGTTTGCTCACAGTTGAACAAAAACGGAATCAGGTGACCATTTCGAAGCAATGTTTAGACATGTTCAAGCATAATCCGAGTAAGCTTTTGCAGCGATATGTAACCGTTAATGAAACATAGATCCATCACTATATTCTAGAAATGAAAGAGCAATTAAAACAATGGATTTCTTCTGGCAAATGTGTTCGTAAGAAGAGAAGAACGGTTCCATCGGTTGGAAAGATCATAGCTACAATTTTCTGGGATTCGAGAGCATAATTTTTCAACTTAAGAAAACGAAAAAACGATCACAAGATTGTATTACGCCTCCTTATTGGATCGATTTTATACTGAATTTGTGGAAAAGTTCATTTGGCGAAGGAAAACATTCTCTTTCACCACGACAATGCACTAGCTTGTGTACATGTTGCAACTATCACACACATACACACACACGCACGTGCGCGCGCAGTATTCTCCCTATTCTCCAACTTTGACCCTTTGCGACTTCTTTCTTTTTGCAAACATGAAAAAATGGCTTAGTGAGAAAAGATTCGCATCGAACGAAGTCATCGTCGAAATAAACACCTATTTTGCAGAGTTTGAGAAGTCATATTTTTGTGAAGGCATAGAAGTTGTAAAATCCTTGAGCAATATATATCAAAAAGGAGACAGTAAATATGCAGAATAATGGACCATTCACCTACGATCTTGATGTTAACATATATTATAGAATTGGAAAATATAATATCTATATATAGTATCAGAAAATTACATCATATTCATTACACTTTCTTTCTTAATAATATTTTAATAAACAATGAGCGACGATTAGAACTTTTTGATTATTACTCAGGAGGCTTAGTTCTATAATATATGTCAACATCAAGATCGTGGAAGGATGATCCATTATTCTATATATTTACCAAGGAGACCATGACAAAAATCGAATTTTGATAAAAACAACCCAGGTAACAGACTGACGTCAAATGACATAATAATAACGTCTTAATGATAAATCTAATGTCAATAAAATGTCAGCAAACGTCAGGCTGCTACTTGGGAATTCTCTCCTTTCAAAGTCACAGACTTATCAAACAGCCCTCGAGTGAGTTATCGTCTTTAAATATTTAAGATATCTTTTACATTTTTCTTTATTAATTAGATGCGCACAATTAGTGCACTGTATTTATACGGGATCTCTCTTCGTTGGAGTAGGATTGAATGTAATCACCATAAGTATTGCAGCAGTCCAAGTAAGTGTTTACTAATATAAGTGACTTTTGGAGCTTTGAAAAGCTCTATCTTCTCTCCAAATAAACAAAAAAACAGTTCTTCCTAATATATTCATTATTTTCTTTTTTCATTTAGTTGGTAAGCAAGATGTTTCGATGGGCTGAAATGATGATGTCTACTGCATTTCTAATTGGCGTCACGATGAATATGTTCTTTTTAAGTTTGATAGCGCAATATTTATTGGATCATAGCTTAAATATTCATGAATCGGCGTGAGTTTTTGAACGATATCCATATTTGCGAATGCTGTTTGTATAAAAATATATTAAAAACGTATTGTGACAAATGTATTAAAATCGATAATTTTTCAGATATTCAGGTGCTTGGTATAATATGCCTGCTAAAATACAAAAAGCTATTGTATTGATCTTCATAAGAAGTCGTTTACCGTGTCAGTTGACAGCTGGAAAATTGTTTATAATGTCGTTGGAAAGTTTTTGCTCGGTAAAATATATTTGAAAAAATTGATTATTGAAATATCGAAATTCTATATCGAAATATTATATTATAAATTAATTCAAATTTTTTAGATAATGCAGACTTCGATGTCCTATTTTACGGTATTAGTATCTTTTCGATAAATATCTGCAGCAGTTTTGTTTGAAATTAACGCACACTTTTTATGTTTAGAAGAAATAATAAAGGTTATATATTTAGTATTAATAAATGACTTATTTGATATTTATGACTACAGCGAACTATTTAAGTCTGCACTGTTTGAAGTACTTTACTATTCTGAAGCAATTCACTATTCTGATGTAAATGTGATATTAATATTATAATGTGTTAGATTTGAATTGGAATTGCTTTTTTTTATGTCAATTCTCAACTTTTTGTGAAAGTTCTAACTTACTTTATTAATCTCATATTATCCTGATGAAAAAAATTTCTCAGGTTTTCTCAAAAATTTTTTTTGAATCTCTCACCATCTAGATTTTTGAGAAATTCGGAAAAAATATGAAAAGCTTTTCAGATTTTTTGAGAAATGACTTATGAAGATTCATAGAAAAATTTTTCAATTTTGCTTAAAAATAATTGGGTGAGAATTTTTAGAATTTTCCGGTATCTTTATGCATTAATATTTCTGAGCAATATTAATATTTCTTAATTTTTTTCCGATTAAGAATGGATTAAAGTAAATATGAAGGAAGTAAATTAGAATTCTCAGAATTTTTTATTATTCATAAACACTTCTCATTGTATCTTTTTCTGTGTGGGTAAAAATCTGTGAAAAATATTAAAAACTTATTTTAAAAGAACTAACCAGAGATGAGTACATGTGTATGTATGTGAGAATTCTTAGAATATAGAAGTATTTCTATATATGAAAATTTTAGAGAAATTTTAGTCGAAAAATTGTTGAAAAAATTTATACATAAAATATTCTTTACATATAAATGCTTAATATATAGGGTGTCTCATAACAATTGTTACAGAGTTCGTGAATACATATAGCGGGTTGAGCCAAACATAAAAGTCCTTTGAAATATTTACAATAATTATCGAGTTATTAATTACAGAAATCTGACGAGTGAGCGCGCTCTGAGATGGATGACTGGAGAAGCGTCGCAACTATACCACGGCCAAGGCGATCCAGCAAATATTGGCGGCATGCGGCGAGGAGAAGGATAACGCGCTGCTATTTGTGTTTTATCTCGCTGTATCTATGTTTGGTTGCACGCCACCAATAGTTACTAAATCGATTGGGCTGTGTTGTAGACCGAGAGGCTGCGACGCTTCTTTAATCATTCGTCTCGTCAGATTTCTGTAATTAATAACTCGATAATTATCGTGAATATCGCAAAATGATATGGGACTTTTATGTTTATCTTAACCCACTCCATATCTTCACGAGCTCTGTAACAATTATTATGAGACACCCTGTATATATAAAGTGGCCCACATAAAGTATGACAACTCAAAATCTCTAAAAATATCTGTTGTTCAAGAAAATTATTTATGACAAAGTTTTATGTATTCGAGAGGTATTTAAATTATTTAAAAAAAATTTTTTTCATCACTTGTTATTGGGTATAGGAATAAGTTTTAATCGTTTTTTATGTAGATAAAAAACAGTTTGAATATGAAAATATCAAATGATTTTATTCAAAATACTTTCCATTTGAAGCGACAACCTTCGCCCATCTTTCGGGCAATAAACGAATTCCTCGAGTGAAGAATTCTATTTCTTTCGAGGCGATCCAGTCATCGACCCATTTTTATATGCTGTCATATGAGGTGAAGCGCTTTCCAGTAAGTGCCGACTGCATCGACCGGAACAAATGATAGTCTGAAGGGGCAATGTCTGGTGGGGTAAGATCTCCCATTTCACCCCTCCTAAGTATGTCCGGACGGGTTGACCAACATGTGGCCATGCGTTGTCGTACTGCAAAATCAGCTTCTCGTGTCTATCGCGCCATTCCGGCCGTTTTTCTTGAATAGCTTGTTTCAAACGCATTAGTTGAAGTCGGTAATATTGGGAATTAATAGTTTCGGACGGTTTCAGAAGCTCATAGTCGACTACACCCCGCATATCCCACCAGATACAGAGCATGACCTTTGACCCGTGAAAATTGTGCTTTGGCGTTAATGGACCTGGTTCACCTGGCTTCACCCATGCTAGTTTGCGTTTAAGATTGTCGTAATGAATCCATTTTTCCTCGCCAGTGATGATCTGATGCAAAATACTCTTTCTTTCTTGTCGTTGAAGCAACATTTCGCACGTGACCAAGCGCCTTTCAATGTCCCTTTCCTTCAACTCGTGTGGTACCCAATTTCCAGCCTTCTGAACCATTCCCAGCACATGTAGGCGTTTTCCAACGGTGGATCGATCAACATCCAATGCTGCAAACAATTCTTCAAGTGTCTGACATTGATCAATATCAAGCAATTTCTCAAGTTCCTCATTTTGGAACTTTTTTGGGGCACTATCGCGTTCTTTGTCGTTGACATCGAAATCACCACTTTTGAAGCGTTGGAACCAATATCTGCAAGTTGGCTCCGATGGAGCATGGTCGCCGTAAACATCCACAAGCAAACGGCACGTTTCCGCAGCACTTTTCTTCAAAAGATAGTAGTGGAGAAGAACTTCCCGCAAATGTTGCTTTTTTGAAACAAATTCCGACATTTTCGATGCGATATGAATATTTGCTGTTTGCACTCCAAACAAAAGTCTTATACTGCGTTTAACAACTTACATATACACCTTTTAAATCCATGTATCGAAAGGTTAGAAAAGATGCAAGCAATACTATTAATGCCATCTATGGGGAAACGATTAAAACTTATTCCCATACCCAATACAATTTTTTCCTACTTTTCTGACAATAAATGGATTCCACAATGGAAAAGATATACAGTTCTGGACAAAATACACACTTTCACGTTTGCGTGATTAACTTGTCTTGAGAAAAATAAAATATGTATTCGGACAAAAAGAAGGTTTCTTAGTCCACTTTTAAGTTTTACATGAAAAAAATTCTAAAAACTTTAAAAATCTTTCAATAGTCAAATTCGTCACATTTATTACCATATTTACCTTGAATAAAATTGCTTGCAAACGCCGAGATTTACTTTTGATCAGATTTTCAATGTGTTGCTAGTCGATGTTTTTCCCATCTTTCTTCTAATGTTTTAAATAACTTACTTTGTTCGTTATGTCGCTCTTGTCAACTTTCTGATCTAAAATGGACTGCAGGTTTTCAATTGAAATTGAATTTAAATATAGCGATTGCATGAACCAATCCAGTGCTTTAGTCATCAAGTTATGTAAAAAGATAGTAGTTTTACGAATGATATGTTCTAAATCAATAGTTTATTGGGAGATAAAGAGAGATCATATAATGAGACACAACCGCCTCGTTACTACCGGCCCGATCGACCATCTGTCGGGCCAATGAACAGCGCTTAGCGCAGTGTTGCTATTAGGTGTACAAATTTGCTTCCGCCAAAAAATGGGACGTTCATTACGATAACCCCAAGCGCAGGAAATCATGGGCATATCCCAGCTATGCTTCCACGTCGACCAGCCAAACCGAATATTCACGGCTCCAAGGTCATGCTTTGTATTTGGTGGGACCAGCTCGGCGTAGTGTATTATGAGCTGTTAAAACCGACTGAAACAATCACAGGCGATCGTTATTGAACGCAATTAATGCGTTTGAACCAAGCATTGAAAGACAAACGGCCGCAATACAACGAGAGACACGATAAAGTGATTTTGCAGCATGACAATGCTCGAACCCCATGTTGCGAAAGTGGTCAAGACATGCTTAGAAACGTTGAAATGAGAAGTCCTATCCCACCCACCATATTCTCCAGACGTTGCTCCCTCTGACTATCACTTGTTTCGATCAATAGCACACGGCCTGGTTGACCAGCATTTCCGGTCTTATGAAGAAGTAAGAAATTGGATCGATTCGTGGATCTCTTCAAAAGATGACTAGTTTTTTTCAACGCGGAATTCGTACGCTGCCCGAAAGATGGGAGAAAGTAGTGGCCAGCGATGGACAATATTTTGAATCATAAATGTATAACCAGTTTTTTACAATAAAGCCTCGAATTTCGGAAAAAGCAGCGGAAGCAAAGTTGTACACCTAATAGATGCAATATATTACAATGCTACAACGCATGCGTGAGATGACGTAAGCTCTATGCGAAAGCATATGCTAATGACGGCAATAAAGCGCATCACATGGTACATGGAGGGGCCTGCGCTATTCAATCAGCTATCTTCCTATATAGTTTTCCCGCGTTTTTTGCTCGAGTGCCTTATCCCAGGTTATGTTGTCTAGTGGATACTAAGTAACAGTTACGTTACATTAACATTAAAATTTCTCACTCGACTATGTAACTGTTACATAATAGTTGTATTATGTAACAATGACATTGTTAAGTGAAAAATTGTAATGTAAATTGAGAATTACTATCGGACCAATTAAAACAACCACGATTTAGATTACGTAATTTACTCGATTGCAATTCTCAATGCATAGTATAATACGGGCGCCAGTAGAAAGAGGATGAAGAGGACGAGGGAGAGGCGGCAGAGGCAGCAGTGGCGGCAACAGCAGGGAACTGCGGATGCAGCGGTGGCTGCTACCCCAGCGTCGAACCGGAGAGGATTCAGGGGAGAGATCTGCCAACACGGCAGCCGGCAAGAAGGTCGTCCGTAAGGGAGTGATCGGGATCAGACGGAGAAGGTAGAGGTGGCCCCTCCCAAGGCCCCTCAACCTCCGGATGCCACGATAACCTGGGCGAAAGTCGTAGCGAGAAGGGAAAGAAGGAAGACGGAGGACAAGGACAAGGGGAAGAGGAACCCTCCTCCTCCAAAAGCTGGACGCGGAGGAAGGGGCCAGGCGGTAGCACGGCGAATAGGGCTGAAACCGCCCCGCTCAGCAGCCATCACCGTCACCTGCCCCCAGAACTCATACAGAGAGTTTATGCAGGAGGCCAGGCTCATCAGCCCGGCGGATCTGGGGATCAATAGATCCCTTAGGGTCCGCCAGGCCCTCACGCCGGCGGAGGAGCTCATCCAGCTGACGGCGGGGAAGGGCCCTGGTTATAGGGTACAGAGGCTGGTGAAGACAACCGTGTTGCGGCACACCGGACACGATCTTACCGACCGGTGCCAAGGAGG